AATCAGAGCATTGCACACCCTCTCCTTTCGCCGCCGACTTTCGTCCAGAAAAAAGGGCGAGAGCGCGAGCAGGAGGGAGGGAGAGACACCCCCCCCGCGATCTCCCACAAGGCGGGAACAGGCCGCTCCATTTATGATATATCATCAAGTCCGCCCCCATACACTTCTACAGCAGCCGGGAGTTATGGATCCTCGCTAAACACGCCATGGAACATCGGGCCTTGGGTCAACTGGTTCCGTCTGATATTGCTCTCTTTGCCTCTGTCTCACCACTCGTCCTTGGCTCCTCTCCAATCTCCAAGTCCCACGCTCCCACCCCTCGCTCGGATGGCTTTCGGCCTTTTCTGCTCCCTATCTCGCTCTGGTGTACTTGATGTACACAGGATACAGAGAGATAGGGCGGGCTCTCGGGGGCCAGTCAAGCTGTGTCAGGTAGCCCCTGCCTCTTCGATGGCCTGAGCCAAACCGCTCGATGGCTACATGCGCCTATCACATCTTCCCCTACCCCTCCCTCATACTCCGAACTAGCAGCGAGGTACATGCGTCCAGGCATACATACATGCGTACATACACCTACCTCCCGTATATTTTACAACCTTATAGATATACAAATATACATGCCCATCCAAAACATCTATCTTCCCAACTAACTGCATGGTTGCTGCATGGCACGCAACCACCCTGGCACCCGCAACTCTTCTCGGAAAGCAAACAATATCTGCGGTAGTCAGTCACGGCTTCAGCTCCACTTAGACGGCTCGTGCAAACCCAGACAGGAAAGACCCTCGCTCCAATGGCTTCCACACCCTCCAGGACTGGTCTGACTGTTCTGGGTGCTGGGTTCTTCCCCAACAACCCCAGCATCTCGGCATCCTAGAATCAGCATGGGACATCCGGTACGTATCCCGTTGGACCCGTATTGCACTAGCATCCAGAGATGTGTGCGGGTTGCCAATGGCCGGCCCTAGAACATCTGCAGAAGCCAGCCAGTATATTTCCTGTTGCATCCTGTACGGCCCCAGGCGCACTTGTGGCGTTGGTGGAGCTCCTCTTGCGTCTGCAGCTCGACTCCGGCTCCGGCTGATGAAGCTCTTGTGTCGATGCTGCCGTCCAACGTCAATGGACATGGATGATGGGTTCTCCTGCCGAAGATTGTCCTGGTCGCTAACCTGCTTGCATGTGTTTTCCCGAGATTATGGGGCCTCTTAACTGCTCTGGATCGCATTGCCCCTAGCCTCTTCCTTCCATGGAGATAACTAGTCGATATCTGACTGGTGAAAGTCGACATAACTCAATGCTCTCTGGTCATGGTTCCAGGGAGAGAGCCAAAGCACCTCCTCCTCCGCCCCTGGAACAGGCCTGCCGTTCCCTCGAGCCTCTGTTCCCTCCTGCCTCGTCGACACCCCGGACCCCGTCTATCACGGATTGGCACACAGCAGCACGTCAGTGATTCAGGTATGGCGGTCAAACCGTCAATATCATACATAACTGTGGGGGTCCTTCCTGGACCCTACCCTCTCGCTCGTGAGTTTTACCACCTCTGCCACATCTCCCCCCATTGCTGGCCCCCTTTCGACTCTCGAGTTTTCCGGCTCTATCCAACAACTTTGCCACTCGCCCGTCACTGCCACCAGTCAGAAAAACGTCGAGATTCTACCTGTCCTCCTCCCAAGCAACATCTTTTCCCCCCTCAGGCGCGTCTTCTATCCCACACCCACTGGTGTTGAGCAGAGCCGCACTTGACACCTTTCTGACCACCGAGCAAGACTCGAACCTTTGTTGTGCTCCTGGACTCCTTGACCCCACGGGGAACCCGCCCCTCTCCCATCAGCCCTTTGGCCAATCCGGCTGGCTTGTCTCGGTCCTCTCTGAGCCAACCCCATACTATCCCACCTCTACATCCCACTCCCATCCCACGTCCTTGTCGTCATCCCCTCAACATGGCGCCCTCCGCGACTGGTGAGCCCGCGCCAATGCATCTACCCGCCATCTCAAAAGCTTCAACCATCAATGCGTCGGTCCTGCATGGCCCACACGATTTGCGATTGGTAAAAATGACCCCTTTTCTTACCCCCTTCTGTTACCCCCCCTGTCTCCCGAGATCTCAGATCTCACGGTTACACAAAAAAAGGGTCCCAGGCTCGTTATTTTTGGATCCAGTTCGCTCGCTAGGAGAATTTTATCCACTCCCTCGGTAATCCGTCACTAACAGATTCATTCAGGAGCGGAGGACCATTGAAGAGCCCAGCTTAGGCGAACTCCAGATTGCTGTGAAGACCACTGGAATTTGTGGCTCCGATGTGTCTTACTACAAGAAGTTTGCCAATGGAGATCTCTGCGCCTGTATGCCCCTGTCACTCGGCCATGAGTCCTCGGGCACCGTTGTCGCCATCGGACCCCAGGTCTCGGGCTTCAGCATTGGCGACCGAGTCGCGCTCGAAGTCGGTATTCCATGTGGCCAGTGTGGTATCTGCCGCAAAGGAAGATACAACTTGTGCAAAAGAATGAGATTTCGAAGCAGCGCCAAATCCGTCCCCCATTTCCAAGGCACACTCCAGGAACGAATCAACCATCCTGCTATCTGGTGCCATAAGTGAGTCTAATAAACACTTCGTCCCGTAAACAGAGTAGATAATGTGATATAAGTGGCTAACTGTTCGGCAGACTACCCGAGAGCATCTCATTTGATGCAGCTGCCTTGCTGGAGCCGCTTTCTGTGGCCATTCATGCTGTCAACCGTGCCAGCCCAACCCCTGGCTCTACAGCTCTGGTCATTGGAGCTGGCACTGTCGGCCTGCTGACTGCTGCCATGGCACGGCAGTCAGGCTGCGCTGCCGTAACCATTGCCGACGTTGATCAGGGCCGGGTCGACTACGCCATTTCCCGTGGCTTCGCTACTCACGGCTATGTGGTGCCGCGGCCTTTACACACGTCGTCTAGTAGTTCGTCTATTTACAATAGCAGTAACTCGGGCACGTCGACGCCGTATGACGGCGGCATCAGCACGCCCGGAAGCACACTGTCTTTCCAGAGCCAACTCGATTCCGCCAAGATGCTCGCCGCTGACATGTTGGCGTTGACAAACTCGTCGTCGTCGACCCTTCTGATCGACGACGAGGACGACGGTGTCGACGTCACCTTCGAGTGCACTGGCAAGGAGATCTGTATGCACACCTCGCTGTACGCCACCCGTCCTGGAGGCAAGGTCATCATGGTGGGTATGGGCACGCCTATCCAGACCCTCCCCATGTCGGTTGCGCATCTTCGCGAGATCGACATCCTTGGTATCTTCCGGTATGCCAATACCTACGCCACCGGAATCCGTCTACTTTGTGCGCAGAAGAGAGGCAATGCTGGCGGCTATACCCTGCCAAGTCTGGACGACATGGTCACTCATAGGTTTAGAGGACTTGATGCAGCTAAGGGTGCGTTTGAGTTGGCAAGTCGAACAATTGACGATAATGGGAATTTGGTACTCAAGGTTGTTATTGAAACTTGAAACTGCCTTTCTGTACACCGTCGGTTTTCGTTATTCTTCTCTTTCCCCTCTATCTGTTTTTCTTATCACTTTCATTGGAAGGATCAAATGCCGAATAGACTGGATGGGCGCGTGGATGGGAGAAATATGGATGGGAATGCAAACGAATGGTATTTCAGGTTGGGAGTGTGAAGAGGTTAAGAATCAAGGATAATGAACAGGAAATTTTTTTCTTCTTATCTTTCGTTTTGGAACTTATCTCTACTCGTTGGGGCTTTCTCGGATGCGCGTTACAGTTTGTGCCTCTTTCGCTTAGAGCGCGAGACGATTGGAACGTACCATTTGTTTTTGTTAGTTATTGAGGATTGTGTTTGATGCTCTATCTTCTTTTCGCAGGGGTTCACGAACGAAGACAGACAGACATACAGACCAAGGGGGAATACATAGACAGAGGGATACCTATTTATCGAATTCTTTTTTTTTTAAAAAAAAAAACTTAGTTTAATTACTTTCTCACGCTGCTACTTTGTAAATGAATGTTTCATTTTCTTCAAGTTCCACGAGCTATGTAGCGAGGAAGAAGGGAGAGCTAACATTGAAGTGTTCGAATTGCGTGAAGGGTGACTGGTGTCGTTAATCGTCAGTACTGGTAGTTCCAATATGCAAATTCATGAGCATTAATATTAGCGAAGTTGAAATAAAGTTCAAGACAGGGAAGAATCGGACGGGGTTTGATAAAGCAAGATGGCACAACTAAGTGGCAGCGGACGCAATACTCACATTAGTTCTCCGAGTTTATTGAAACATATGTCTCGCACATGACCACCTAACTACCTTATCCAGTCTATACGTAGCGATCAGTAACACGAAAGTCAACTTCAACCCCTTTCACAACCTGGAGATGATTACCTGCGTCGACTCCCATCTCGGTCCCCCTCTCTCCCTTTACCAACCCCGTGTCCTCCTCAAACAGACACATATGATCATAGGCACTAGAAAATTCGGGGTCCCGTCCGCTCTCCCATAGACAAGCTAGCGACCGCCAGATTAGTAGTTAGGTAGGTAACCACCAGCGAATCCCTAGTGTTGTATGTTTTTTGGTCATTTTTGAGCATTTCTCGTTTTCCCCTAATATATCCCAAGATTTTGCCTACTGGCGGCGGCATCGAGGAAGTTAGTACACATCTGTAGAGCAATCTGTAGAGAACACTCATAATATTTACAATTGGAATCATGGCGGAAAAGTTTCGTAACGTATCTTATGTTGTTGAGAAAAAAATTGTTGAAAAAGAAAGGGGTGGGTCCGCATCCACCACACACACGCTCTCTGTCCACAAGCCCCCCTTTTCACTCTTGTCCTTTCGGCTCATTAGGAGATAGAAATCTTCTTCAGAGTAAGAAGGAAGCGAGGAACTTGTACATAAAAACCAATGTTAAACATCTGTTAAGAAGAAACAAGTGTGGGGGAAAAAAGGAAATTTCAAGACAAAAGATATGTAACAAAAATAAATGGTTTGATTTGAGGTCGTGCCCGGGTTCGAACCGGGGTTATTGGAATCAAAATCCAAAGTGATAACCACTACACTACACAACCTTGAACTCTTTGATGTCTTCTAGGAGTGGAAACGGGGTCTCTGTGTGGTCCCACTCTGCCCGAGCCATGGAACAGAACTGCTCTTGCCTTTTCTGCAACACAAACGAGAGAAAGAACGAGCAAGAGAGAAATCTCAAGTAATCAAGTAAAAGGAATCATCATATCTTCATTACATCATCTATCTAGGAAGTTGCTCCAGTTCACCAGATCAAGACTACGCCATCTATGCACGGATTTATGTAGACGACTGACTGGTTTACTGGTAGGGACGCCCTTCTTTTTCGCATCCGTGAAATGATTACAAAAACCAATTCTTCGTCCTCCCGGATGTGAACATGATCATTTCTCTTGTTCTCGTTAAGCATCGATTCCCTCTAACGCCTTGAAAAGTACCTACAGGCCATTTGCTCGCCAGACACTTCATAATGACTCATCGCCAGACTCTGTACGTCTGGACGATTTGCTTCCGTCTCGAGACAGCCAATCGCAGGGTTTGCTCTCCTAAAGCGCAGCTGTCTTGTGGCGAACATGGTTGTCTGAGGGGGTGGCGGGGTTGAACACCTCGAATCGACCTCGGGGCTTGCCCTCCTAAAGCAATTCTGTCGAGCCACGGACATAGTCGCCTGACATAGCGATGGGGTCAAACGGCCCCTGTCGTGATCGGTGATTCTTGGCTGACTCCACAATAGCGAACTTCTTGCCTGTCTCACGCATCTCGGCTGTGCTTGATATCAGATCCGAGATGAGCGAGATGAGTTTAACGTCGTTCGTTTCCTTTATAATTTCCTTCTCGAGATCTTTAAGTTGTTGACCAGAAGACGCAAGCCCGATGTTGGTGACCAGAGCGTTGATCTGCCGAAGAATGCTGTTAGAGGGCGTGGTGTGTTTTCCGCCAGAAACATTGACAGCCTTGGCAGCCTCCGGAGTCGTCAGCTTGCCCGAGACAAAGTCAGGCGATTGCTTCTCCAGGTAGGCCACGATGAGGTCGACTCGTGATTTCATCATCTTTACGGCGTTGTATTTTGCCTGCAGAGCTGACATGAACTCGGCCTCGTCCTTGGTGAGATTGGCATCGGGGTTCGCTGCTGTCGACGCTTTGCTCTCTTCGCGCGCTACGGCACGGCGCTTACCTTTGCCCTCGTTGACGGCAATCTTCTGCTCAAACTGCTCAATCATCCGCTTCTCCCCATCAGCAGCCGTGGCATATGCGCCACCCTCCCGGATGAACTGCATGGAGATCATCTCTGCCTCGCCGATCTCGGTCCCGTATGGCAACTCGCGAAACTTGAGGGTTAATTGTTTGACAGCCGCCTCCGAGTCTTTCATCACCTTGTCCTCACCATGGCTCTCATCCTTCGGGGTGTCCTCCACTGCCTCGAGGGTGCTCTCGTATATGGTGAGTGGCAGCGACTCTCCAGCTCCGGGCTGCCCGATCTCATGGATATGAAGTCCGAGCAGGACGGCCGACTCGTTCTGGGAGATGATCTGGTTGTGAATTGGCAGGTACAAAGGCGACGGGCCAGTCTTGTCCATGACTGAGTACCAGCCAACGAGATCAAGCGGGGGAGCTTTGTGAACTTGCTTCACTGTAGAGGAGGGGGCTTGTCAGCATCGCGCCAAAACAAGACCGCCACGGGGAGTGATTACTTTGGTCTAGACGAGCCAGAAACCACTCCTCGTCTAACTCGTATAGTCCGTCTTCGTTTTTGCTCGCTTTGCAGCTGAAGCTGTGCTCTATGGTGATCTCGCGGCCGTTTTGTTGGCCAAGCAATCCGCCGACAACGGCGCCATTGTATGCGCGTTGGTAGCTGCGCGTGATGTAGTCGGAAATCTCAAGGATCGGCAGTGGATGCAAGGCAATCTGAAGGCCCGAGTTTGACGATGGCTGGGTCGAGATCAGATCGTTGACGGCCTCGCCAGGCATCTTGAATGCGGGCTTCGGTCGCTCGGTTCGTTCTCAAGAGCGTTCTGGCAGTGGTGGTTTGGCGGGCTCGGTCTCAGCGATGCAGGGCTGGTCGGTAAATGCGTGCTCGATGCCTAATTCTCTCCGTAGCGCGAAGGAGATGGTAGAAGTGAAGTTGCGGTGACAGAGAAATTGTCGTTGGTTGCAAGAAGAATGAAACGAGGCATCAATGGGCTTCACAAGGCGGAATTTCAGCCTCGCCCCGCACTAGGTACTCTCGGTGCACTAGCTTCAGGTGGTGGTGCCTGTTGTGAGCGTTTGATTCTGGTTGTGGATCGCTGTGATGTGGGGTATAGTATGGATAAACATCGGAAATAAGTTAAGTGGGTTTCTAGCCGTCTGTGCGCCAAAGCTGCTGCGGGGTCTGTGGGCTCCATCAACCCCTTTTACTTGTTTATTTCAGGGGGAACTTCAGTTGAGCCATTCAGACATGCGATGAACGAGCTGTCTAGACTAAGTTAGTCAATGTCGTTATACAGCAACCTTTTTGCGCTTCACTCCAAAAATTATTTTTCCGACATACTTTGAATTCATTCGACATACGATCCTCCCTTTAAGTTCTAATTCTAACACTCAGCCCTCGACAAGAACAGCTTGTGACAATGTTAAGCTATCTCGAACCTCTTTTCACTTGTGCATACAGAAAAATAATTCGCCCGCGTCATTGTCTATTATAAACATCATCTTCGCTTTAAGTTTTAATAATTTTGCCTGGTAGTCATTCGACGTCCCACCAATCGATATGTGCACATTCTTATAATGAATAATTTGTCCATATCACCCGGATTCTCTCGCAAACAACTTCATCTCATGTGATGGTAGACGTTTCGCAGCCCAAAGAGGCGAATAACGAAGAATATAAATAAATTCTATTTCCCATATTAACGGACGGACACTTTCGTACCCCCACCGTAGCCTTATACAAGGACAGAAAGACCTTCAAGAGACAAAGAAAAGTGAGATGTATGTGTTTCATTAAGAATAATAGGACGATATAGCCGTTATTTTATTGTAAAAACGGAGATATGAAGCATGGAAATATCTTTCGCTGCCCCAAAAAAAAGGACAAGGGATGGATAAAGGCTAATCGAGACATGAGAGCACTTTTATTCAAATTAACCGCTAGTTCCTACTGTCAAAACAAGTGAATCCGTAAAGATAGAAAGACGGAAAAGAAGTCTGCATCCCGCTGGTCGAATAAGGGGCGTAGAAAGGCAAGAATGCTAGTTGATCACCCACGTCTGTGCTGCTGACCACGACCACCAGCAGCAGTTAAGCGATTCGACACCCAAGGCAAGGCATGGGAGTAATTCCACTCCTCTCTCTCATCCTTCCCAGGCCAGATAACGTTGTCCAAGCCCCCCCTGCCGAGTTCATTCCACTTCTCGACGTCCCCCTCGCGCTTCACGCGCAGGTCCTGCATATATTTCTTCAACTGTTTTGCGTCGTCCGATCTCCCCTCTTTGGTTGCCGCGCTGTAGTGTTCCGTCGCCTCCCTCATGAGCAGCGCATGATTCCTGTTCAGCTGCGCAATCCGCATTTCCGGATGGCAGCTCGCGCAGGTGTCGTGGATGCTGGACACCTCGCCTTTCGGAGTGTCGCACTTCTTTTCGCAGCGTGTGCGGAAATGCACGAGGCTGTGGCCGCAGATGAGCTTGACTGTGTCGCCGGTACACATTGTGACAGATTTGCGGCGGCGGCAAAGAGGAGTACGAGAGAACAGGGGAGGGATGAAATAGCAAGAATGGCTTGCGTGGCTCCGATGATAAACTGACGTTGGCGCGGAGGGTGCTTTCGTGGCTGTCGTATATATTCACGATATTGGATGACTGACAGGTAAAGGCAGAGAACCATTGTCCGTTTGCCATCTTCGCAGACAAAGGCTTCACTAGAACAAACCCATTGTGCCTTCCGAGCTGCGACATGTTTCAATCCTCCCGCTTAGAAAGGCAGGAACAGCCCTTTGTTGGCCAGGTTGCAACTAGGGCTTCCAGTTGGTCGTTGGCTATAACGGGATTCTCGGGGCGTCGGGAACAAAGTGGAAGGTCTTGGCCCTAGAGAGAGTGGCCTGAACATGATCATCACATCAACACTAACTGACCTAAAATGGGTAACTATTTACATACGTTCATGTTCTCGGGCTCCTCAAAAAGCCGACAACGCCACCACAATAGCCAACGAGATCGTCCAGCCGGTTCCGTTCCTTCTCTTGGTGCTCTCTCCATACCTGCAACGCTATGAGTAGGGACTCATTTGCCATTACTAGGTCAAAGTGCAGTCTCAAGAATACCGTCATCCACGCCTGGGTCAATTCGTAATCTCTCCTTGCTACGAGCCGGCTCGTCAGCGCCTGGATGAAATGAAGCATCTCATTCTCATCGTCGTTGCCCAAGCCAATCGAAAGAGACCGTAGCTCAAGGTCAGCAGTAGACGGACCCAGGGTTTTGAGGTGCTCAATAAAATCGTTGTCTGGATTTAGATAGTTAGCTGTGAAACTCTCCATATAGTGACCTTGTACGGTTGCACATACAGTCTCCAGACGCTGCGGCAGCAAGGAGCTTTGCAGTAAATGTCTGCTCAGCACGCGCGCGATCGAGTTGTGTGATCCTGGAAGCGCTTCCGTCGACCCTGCTCTCCCCAGGTACAGGCCCCCCGAGGGGAAGGGGATTTGCTGCCCCTCCGACCGAAGGCAAGAAGAACGGCGCCTTTTCGGGCGCTTTGGGTGCCTCCTTAGGCTTGTTGCGTTGCTTGATGAGGTCGAGATGCAGAAGCGTTTGCCACCTGCTCTTGGGGACAAGACTGAGCGTCATCATGTCTGCATTCAGTTGGTCAAGAATTGGCGCTGAGAGAACATCATCTTCGGGTGTAACATCGTCCTCCTCAAATGCGGCCTCCACCAAGCCCTGACCACCTTCTCCGGACGTCGTTGGCGCGCAAACTTGGCCAATCTCCTTTTCGGAGATCTGCCTCGTGGGCACGTGCTTGAAGAGTGTGCGGTTTGTCCATATTTGCACGCCGAGCTCGCCCTGCGTCGAGC